GGCTTTTAACTAATTCTATGTGAATTGAAAGGGCCTCAAAAACTAGAATACCTATCGCTAAAGGCTATAAATTATAACCATCACATAACAGGAACCTCCTAATACCTGGAATTAAAAAATGAAGAGTTTCAGCCTTAGTAAATTTCCGAAACTAGACAAAGGGTGATTTTAAATCTACCTTCACAGCTAGCAAAACATTTTCGTTTTTATGAGTGTAGCAGCCTCATCTGCCGCAATTACTCAACATCTTTCAGAAAAAAAGAAACATTCAGAAAACCCGTTCACGAGTGAACAATCGCCTCCCTGTTTAAACTGAAGAGTAGATAATTGAAATGCAAGACATATACGTTTTTAAGCAGACCGGAGGTTTCATTTAGCCAAAAAAAGGAGTCCTGCTGCAAAGAAGACAACGCGAAAATAAAATGTTTGGATTAAATTTGTGCTTAAATCAGATAATGGTAACAATCACGTTAAGTTTTCCGCAACTAACAGCGCTTTGCCACGTTGTTGTGTTAATAAAATTTGGTTATATTGCTTTCCGCTAATAACGGATTGCAGTCGAGCACATGCTGTTACAGATTCGGTTACAGAGTAACGCTGAATTAATTTGGGGAAGAAATGACATACGGTGCGAAATGAACATTAAATAAAAGCCCCGACGTTAATCTTGAATTTTTTCGGAATTACACTATGGGGAAGGTTAGCTTACGATTGTGCATCTCAAAGACGATTAGCTCTTATATTCTTGTGCTAATTTATTCTTCCGTTCTAAGCAACTTAGCAATTTATAATCAAAAGGTCTGTTAAACTGAACCTTCGTTTTCACCAATTAATCTTGATAATTGCTACGATGCTAGAAATTGGCTTCTATACTCTGCAAGTAAAATAAAAAATAACAAATAAAGTGTAGATAACAAAAAACTTTAAATCGTATAACAGAACGACTTAATTCTTACAAGTACCTGAGGAGTTTGTAAAAAAAAAACCAATGTCTTAAAGTCGCTTTTAAGAAAAGTTTTGCGCTACCAAATTATACTATAATTTAATGCACTGGTGTTATATAGGCTTCTGAAGTCATTGCTCTTGCCACTCCCTGATTCTCGAAAAACTTCGGCAGGCGGAACCCCCCCCCAATGATCGAATGAAATGCTGCACTTGACAAAAAGCAGATCCTACACTCCTGTTTGAACTACCTATCTTTCAGACATGTGATTTTGGGTCATAAATATAAACATATACTAGGAGAAGTGCACATCTTAGCTCATCCTCTATTCTGTTACAACGTACGATAAATGATTTTACTTATCAACTGCACATAAGATCACAGAAAATTGATGAAAGGTTAGTTGCTATTGCAAGATTTGATATTGAAAGAAATTAATAAAAGAAAACTCTTAGAAAATAAAGATAACATGAAGGTAGCTTACAAGGATATGAATTTATTTTGCAGCAGTCTACGAAATATGTTTGTATATTAAGATGCTGATTTCAATCCTTTTCTTTCTGCAAGACGTTTATATGTAAAATTTACGTCTTCACTCAAACACCACACCAATTCAAAACATTTTTGTTAGACTTGTTCAAAAATATCTAACCACTTCAATGGCGTACAGTTCCAGCAGCTATTCTAATTTTAGAAGATGTTTTACTGAGTAAAAGAGTTGAAGGTTCTAATGTAAAGAAATGTGATAACTAGACTTTCACTGATATTAGTTTGCTCTAAATTTTTTTTGATCCAGAATTTTTTAAGCTTTGCATTAGAATTTTAGACAGTAGAATATAGTGAGTTCTAAAAGCTTTTACCGAAAGGGTATATAAGCGGACGCATCTCTTCATTTCAATTCCGGTTAAAATTGTTGAAAAAAGTCTGAGATTTGGTGTAGGACTTTTAGACAAATCCAGTGATATTCCGCGTGAGTCCAATAGTAACAGCAAAGCCTAGCTGAGTAGGTATGTGTAGTGTGAGCAGAATTTGTAAAATCTCCAAATCAAATTCAATGGAAGTCGCGCTGGTCACTAAGATTGCATGTGCACTCGCAAATCGTAGAACCCCGATAAAAAGAGACATGGCGTGGGAATAGGCGATTATCCGAGCAAGCATGCTTTCGAGCACTAGTAGTATAGCAACCAGTGAAACAATAGCAACCACCAAACTGGCATATATGCGTTGAAAATAGCTGCATAGCTCTTTACCAGGTAAAACGAAGGTTGAACTACGAGAACATTATTTTTCTATGTAGAGAAAATTCTCGTTAGCGTAGCGGTTTGAGCCTTTGAAACTTGGGAATTTTCAAGAGGACTATTACAAATTTAACGTAAATGACTATGCGTGCTGACAATCTTATCGGCTGACAATGAATGAGAGCGCTAAAACGCCAGTTTTCTTATCGGTGTAACAAACATCTGCAAAATCG